AATGAAAACCGTGTGCTTGAGGTACAACAGTTATCACATGAGCATAGGTTGGTTACAAAGCTAGCTACAAGCTCTAAGCAGGGCGATATTTGTTGGTTTTTCAGCCCATCATCTCAACAGTCTTCAGAACATTTGTTGTGGATATTCATGATGAGTCACATCACTCTGATATGTGGAGTACTCTCGTACAAAATCCACAAGTGGACGCCATCTTGAGAAAATTCCCTCACTGGAATAGAATCTGTAATAAATGTAGTCTTCTCTGTTTGGCTGCTGCGTCTTTTTGCAGTGGGAAGAGGAAGATCACACTCCTGGGGTCCCACCTGGAGTTTGTGGAAGGGATCGTCCACAGCCACGCCCCACAGGAAGTCAGACTTCCCACAGACAGCAGCAATGAGGTGCGTCTGTAGTCGCGCTCAGCGTCCCGTTGAATTGTTGTCTCACATTAATTATGTCATGTCACATAACGCCATGCCGTTGTTACATTATATTACGACCTGACCAATTACAGAATATACTGTGTGTCATTTCACACAGGGCCGCAGCATGCAGCTATTTTGGTCTGTCAAGGTTTTTCAGCGGTTTCACAAGTCTGTCTGCGTCTCTGAGCAGCCAGTCCAAGTAGAAAATCTCACGCTGTTTCAGCTGAGGAAAGTCTGACATTAGAACACCTTATTTCACTCTTTTCAAGTGGAGGCTTCTCACTGCAGAGCTACACAGCAGCGTCTACTGGTGCATGTGAGGCATTCAGGGGGCATCTGTAAATTTAGTAAACGGCCTTGGTTGCACTCTCCGCCTCTGAACTGCACGATTATCTGCATGCACGTCAGTTCTGCTGCGCCACGCTCCACTGCATGTAAGATAAAACGGCTAACTTTATGCATTTAAGAGTGGAGCCAAAGCATAGCTGTTTACTGTTGGGAGGTTATAAAAGCACAATGTCTCCAAGAACCTTGTCCTGTTCTGTGACAGATGTGTGTCTGTCAGAGCAGTTCCTTTTTCCACACAGTGTTTTAGCAGCAAACCAATGCTGTGAACACTCAGCGATGACGATAAAATGTAACACTGCTTATGGTGGAGTAGATAGTATTGAGAATTACTGTCTTCTCTGCGTGTTCGTTTCTAAAGATGAGATCGGATTCAATTCGGTCTCAATCAATCAATTTAATTACACATGAATATTGCATTACAGAGCTCTGGGTCAAACTTTCCCTGGCATCAGACAAAGCAAGACTACTCCTGTTGCCTCTGACCCTTCTTTTTTACTACTCAGTCACGTGATGCCTGGTCAGGTCGTAAAACAACTGATTGGGGCCCATCTTCATCACACTGAATGGTTGCATCCTTATATGGACTTCTTTTCCTCCGTCTGTTGTTCGTCCTGTGAAACTATAAAAGAAACAGACCCAAGCAACTTCTTCAAAAGAAAACATTTCATGACTATGTGCATATATGTAACTTCTTTTATATTTTAAACCTTAAGGACTATACTTCACACATGATATAATATATTTATACACAACAATAGTAAGAGCTACATTAGTGCACAAATATTTATCTGCATCTTGACTCCAGCGTATTTAAAGTTACCGATGTAAAGTGTGTAGCTTAAAATGTGATATTAGCAGTGAAACAGTTTGAGTGCACCTCTAACACTTCACCGTGATCACCATATTACTCCAGCCCTATTCAGATTACATTATAGATGACACAAAATGTATTTAAAATCGTTGCAGACTATCATCTATGACTCGCTTGCAGCTGAAAACAGTCCGGGGATTTCTAGCAGCACCGTATCTATGAAAGTAGCCAATGAAACCCTGGCCTGCTCCACAACGCTGACCTACTATCCAGACCCTGAGTTTACCAGCTTCACATCCATAAAAATAGGGGATGATGTCCGCATCACCATAGAGGTAATGGTTGTTTTTTTTTTAAATGCACAAACATGTGATGCTAGTTCATGAAAAGTCAGCATTTTGTGTCCGTGCTGATTTCAGAAAAAGGCAGACAAACTGGAGATGACGGAAGCAGAGTTGTCAGTGTCAGGGGTCCAAGGTGAAAACGAGTACACCTGTAGTTTGGAATCCAAAGACACCGATAATGTGACTGACTTTTTCACCTGTGAGATTAAAAGCTCACTCTACGATAAATTTGAACATCTGTCGGTAAATCTTACAGTCATACTACACTGTACAGAGATGAAATACACATTTTGTACAACATGACAGTGTAGCACCAGATACCAGTTAGTGTGAACATTGTCTTTTACAGATAAAATATGGAGACAAAGAGGTGATACGGAAGCCTAAATCTTCAGCATTGATCTTTCTGATGCTGATTGTTCTTCTCCTCATCCCCTGCATTATTGTTGGTAAGCACGCAAAGTAGGCCTGAGTGATTTAAACCCATTTTAGCGCACTACCACGCATACATGTCAAATGCTTAAACGTTTGTGTGCAAAATGTGTCTTTCAGTGGTGGTGATTGTCTACCGAAGCCAACAGAGGAAGCTCAATGCAAAGGTGAACAAGTTTATGCACGACTTGGAGCTCGATGTCAGGAACGACATCAGACAGGGTCAGTCACAAATTCTGTATCATTCTGTAGTACAGCAGTTAAATACAAGGCGAGTTCCCTGCAGATCTCACTGTCAGTGGCTGTGGATAGCTCAGACGTAAAGCAGGAATCTTTATTAAAAGGTTAACGCACGTGATGATTGTCATTAGGGATCATCAGCTGCAGAATGTATTATCTGATCTACATAAAGAGTCATCAGAAGGAACTCCTACTTGTCATCTGATTATGTTATGTGCACAAAGAACATTTTGATTTGTTTTATAAAAATGTGACAGCACGTACTTCCAAAACAGCAAAGTTCAGATAGAGCCCTTTGGCCACAGTTACCAAAGTGGAGGAAAAAAAAAAAACAGCTGTTGAACCCGGTGGTGGAAATGTTCTACCTCAGGGATGTGCTTGGGCGTCAGTGAAAACTTACAGATCTTAAATTAAGAGATATCACAAGTGTACTTCAGGAAATAGAAAGTAATACCACATGAACATTTGAAGAAAGCTTCATTTTTGCATATTTTTACTGCTTTCTTTCCCCCGTCATAATTAATAAATGATTTAATTTGCTGTACTTTCTATTCGGTGCTAATCAGTGTTTGGGGGGCTAATGTGCTAAACCACAGGCATTCCAAACTGCTTACTTTTACTTTTTACTTTTGATGTGTACTACAGTTACAGTCCTTCCCAAGTACACACTGTTTCATGCAGTATGTACACAACTGGGACGTACGACTTTGTGACATATCGTCCGCTACTCAAACGATTGTGGATCAGGACGGCCAGAAAAGCAAGGTTGACTCAAATGTAGAAGGACATCCTGGTGATGTAGTTTTTATGTGAATCCTTTTTTGGCATACAAAATAGTAGCGTAGATATTGGAACACACCCTTTATATATGGATGGACGCTTTGTCATCTGAAAACCTCAACAAGATCGTGATGGGTCGCTGTGGCCAAACTCAGTCCAAATCTGAATTTTGGAGTGTTAGTAATTCCAGCAGGGACATTTCTTTGTTAACAGTTGTTCAAATATGTGACAATTTGTGACATTTGACCTGAAATACAACACCAGAAAAACACTGGGGAGCACAGTCTGGCGTGTGAAAGCTACTCTGCAGAGTGGACACGGCTATGAGTTTCAACATTTGGCCGCAGAAACGTTTCTTTTTTTTTTTTTTAAGTTATATTTTTGGCCTTTGTGCCTTTATTGGATAGTGTCAGTGAGAGAGAGACAGGAAAGTAGGGGAGAAGAATGGGGGGAGGACATGTGGGAAAGGGTCATGAGCAGGATTCGAACTCATGACCTCCACATTGGGACTGTAGCCCTGCACATGGGACCCCACAGAAACGTTTCTTTATGGTCACTGTCGCGCTATAAGAAAATTTCTGAGTTTGCACCCATCAATTTGCACCATGAATCGAATGAAAAATGGGTTTGAAACTGTCTTTATCGATGACTCAGTCGTGCTACTACATCATGTCTGAGGTGAATCCTGGTTCTTTAACGGGGATTTTAATTAAGAGAAAAAAATAGCTGCTATGAACACTTTTGCATTTTGATATTTTAGTCTTGTACGCAGATTTTCCACATTAAACGATGTGATGTGTTGAACCTCCTCTGCTCATTTGCACCAGTGTTTTCTGCAACATGCTACCACTCTGGAACTACAGAGTGTGATCATATGTGCTAAATGACTCAGCCTGATCACACACTGGTGCCTGTTTATACCACTTCACCATCTTTACTGTCACAAACACACACATGCACTTCCTTCTTCGGAAGTGAAATGTCCAGAACTGGTTCCTTTTTTAAAGATATTAAACTTGTCACGCAAATAGCAGTTGATGTTCAGCAGACTGAGCGTTACAAACACATTGCTCTCCATGCAAGGCTGCATCTGTACTGATCAGCATTAGACCTGTAGAGGGGTGAGATCAGCACAAGTGCACACTTATAGTCAGACATTTTCACTACCCCTTTTCATGTGTGACCTACAAACTGATGCTTGCTTGTTCTTTACCCGATTCCAAATGTGTAATCTGCTTCGTCCATGTAGTCTATCGTCCATACAAGCAGCTTCACTCAAGTGTCCTCTGCAGGTTTTGTGGATTTGCAGACAGAGAAAGCTGATCTAATGGAAAATGTCGGGGCCATCCCTTTCCTGGACTACAAGCACTTTGCTGCCAGAATTTTTTTTCCTGAGGTAACGTGAAGCTGGAAAAAACAAAGCATCTATCTAAAAAAAACCCTGCTGTATGAGATATCAAATACACACCATCGCTGCCAGATTAACAGAACCCTCTTTCTGTTTTCTAGAGCGACTCCTTGAGGAACTCGTGCATCAGAGACATCGGTCAGGTGAGGGTTTGACTCGGCTGCTGTTGACGTCTGTTCCAGTTTGGTGACTGTCGGTGACGTATTGTGTTGTGTCTGACCTGGAATCAGGACGTGGTGAAGGTTCAGCTGGACGAGTGCTGCCACAGTTTGTCCAGGCTGCTCAAGGACCAGCTCTTCCTCGTCTCCATGGTGCACGCTCTGGAGGAGAAGAAGAGCTTCACCATCAAAGACAAGTCAGTTTGTGATGATGTGTTGTGTGCGACCGTCTCTTGCATGCAGGTAGAAAGCGTTAGTGACAGAGAATTGTGATCTGATTTGTGTTTGCGCCGACTGATCTTCTCTTTTTCTGCTTTTCTACTGTTCTTATGAACCCCTCTGTTATTGTCTCTATGTAACCATCTGTCTATTTTAGTACTACGGTTTTAGTTTTTATTCTTCTCCTGCTGTTTTTTTCTTGATTGCTATGGAAGCCGAGAGCGGTCATTTTCCGCTACTGTTCTTTCTTCACCGTTTTCTCGAGAAAACGAGTTAATTTTCTCATTATCTCGGAATAACAAGAATCGTTTTCTCGTGAAGATGAGATAATTTATCTCGAGAAAACCAACTTCGTTTTCTCCAGATAACGAGATAATTGGTGTTTGTGTTAAATCCATCATCTCATGATGATCCTCGATCTGACATTTTCAGTCTGTTCTTGGCAAAGTCACTGCTGCACTCCAGAGCGTCACTCGTTTGTTTGTAAAAACAGGCATCAGTATCCAGGGATAGTTATCTCGTTATCTCGAGAAAACGAACGCCGTTTTCCCGAGATAACGGAATAATTATCTCGTTATCTCGAGAAAATGCCGTTTAAAAAAATGTGCGGCCATGACGGCTCTCGGCTTCCGTAGATTGCTGTCGTCTTATTGTTTTTTTTCTTTTAGTTAATTTTATCCCCTTTCACTTTGATTCTTAGATCTTCAGTGCTATCTACTTACCGACCTACTCACGTCACTTCTATTCTCCTTTTCAGCTCTGTCTCTGTTTGCTAAACGTCTTCACTGCCTTCTTACCATATCCATGAATCCATTCAGCAATGCTTTGGCTAAATATTGTTTTCCTCTTTTCTCCTGCATAGCTGCTTGTATCTATGTGTTGTTCTTCATTTCGTCTGTTCTGTTCCAGGTGTTCGTTGGCATCTCTGCTCACCGTAGCGCTTCACGGCAACCTGTCGTACCTGACCGAGGTGATGGAGGTTCTGCTGAAGGATCTGATGCAGCGGAACAGTAACGCTCAGCCCAAACTGCTGCTTCGACGCACTGAGTCCACCGTGGAGAAGCTGCTGACCAACTGGATGTCCATCTGTCTCTACGGCTTCCTCCGGGTCTGTTGTCCACTTTGCTGTTTCTATAGAACTTGAATGAAAAGCTCAGCCAGCTACTTGGCACAAGTCACCACATTAATGGTTCCCAGATGACTTTGGTGATTAATTGACTTTGGCCCAGAGGTCGGTCGAAGTGTTTCACAAACCTGGTTTACATCAGGCTGAAACATGCCAGTCAACAAATTCTAATAAATATGAAGTTCTTTAGGCTGTTGTGGCTACAGTTGTATATCAGCCTGAACTGTACTTTCTGTTTCATGCTAAATAGTGAGGGTTAGCATGGTAGGATGCCAAACAGAGCTGGTGAACAAGGGAGCTGACTGATGATTGTACCTGCTTAGCATCAGCAGGTCACTGCAGACTTTGGCCTTGTTTATTTTCACTTTTGACTCACATTTGTGCTCGTTGAAATACTAGGACATGTTGTGTATCGACATAAAAGAGAGTGTGATGTAAACAGGAACATGTTCTGAGCTACACAAACTAAATGGAGATCCTGCCAAAATGTGGTAAAACCAAACATTCACTTTATTTTCCAGACTGACTTTCTCTCTGACTCTTCTGAAGGCTGTTTAGAATCAGTTTAGAAACTACAAGTTTTGCTTCAGTTGTTTGGTGAACCACATCATCAGTCATTACCATGGTTATGAACATAACCTCTGCACGGCTGTGTGTTATCAGATGGGAGTTGTTCACAGTTCATTATCGCTACTTAACGGTGTCTGACTGTGTGGCACGCACGCCGTGTAGACACGGATTGTTATTCATAGAGGTGTCTGACAGTCCTAATTCTAGCAGCATCTGCACAGCTCATGTGATGTTGCTTCTAAATCCCACCTTGTTGGTCACAGGCCGGCACAAACCGCAATAAACCCAGAGGGGGGAAAAAAAGTTTTAAAAAAAAACTTTACTGCTCTGATCAACCACTGAAAGCTTTTGTGCAAAGTTACCACAGCCTCTGTGTCTTGTCTGAGTTCCTATTTCTGGTTTTGTGCAGGAGACTGTTGGCCAGCATCTCTTCCTGATGGTGAGTGCTCTCACGCAGCAGATCGCCAAAGGGCCGGTGGACTGTGTGACAGAGAAAGCTCTGTACACGCTCAGTGAGGACTGGCTGCTGTGGCAGGCTCAGGACTTCAGCTCCCTGGTACACACACACACACACACACACACACAGATTTGCACTCTCGAGCGGATTACTTCAACCCAAACAAGAAGTCTTTTCGTGTGTGGAGGTTTGCTTGTCTCATAGCTACCACACAGTTCATGCTACATTTGCATATTGCTCCGTCACAAGTTCAGTCAGTTGTGCTTATACATGTAGAAGCATGTATTACGACTTCCTAATTCGTAGTTCTGTTTTTGGTCAGCTGGTTTGCTAAGTGCAAAACTGTGCTTAACTAATGATCTGTCTCACGACAAAACAACCGCCCATGTTAGAGTAGTCATGCTTGTGAATCTCCAGACGTCCACATAAAAACATTTATGTTTCTTTTGAGGGATATGGATGTTCACAGTTGGGTCACGGTGGTCCTTTTACTGCACATGTATAAACACACAAAGCCATTACAGATTTGGTTTACTGTTGCCAAGCTGCATTGACTTGTACGTATATATCCCTGAGTCTTTACATGGACACAGTTTAAGTTTACAGATTGTGGGTCAGATTCTTTGGGTTTTTCACACCTGATCAAACTCCAGCGGTTACTGAACAGCTTCCTACATGTGTTTCTAAGGTTGTTTTTCAAAGCAGGGCATTTCTGAAAAATCTATTTCCTGGACGTTTCGGAGTATTTCTAAAATTGTTCCTAAAACCCATCTCTAAGTAGACACTCATTGCTTCCCCTTTAATAACCACCTCATGTTTATAGAGTTGACTCTTAGAAATAAGCATGAGATTTATGATGTACCTGCACTGTCCTGTGCCCGTACAAATGGAAAAAAAATCCAGTCTAACTTCACTGCTTACAGGAATTGTGTTTGTGTGTATTTGAGATGGATTCTTGTAGTTTCTGTGTAGAAAACAGCTTCAAGGAAATTGGTGACTCAAGTGAAACTGAAAATATTAAGGCTGAAAATGAGACTGAAACGTGTTTGTTAACAGCTGAGAAGGAGCTCTGGTGATCGGAAACTACGTATGAATCATTAGAACAGGCTCGGGCTTGAGTTGGCCTATCACCAGTGGAAAAATGAGATGTTGCCATCGTGGAAACAACCATTTCTACTGAATGCTTGCTCAACTGCAGCAGCTGTTTGTTTGATTTCCTCAAGAAAAACTACACTGGCCAAAAAAAACTAAACTCTCATCCTGTCAGATGTGGAAGCAGACAGACAACGTGAACAAGTGAGAAGACATGCTGGTGCTAAAACAACAGACTTGAGCTGTGGCAGCCTGGTAAAGGAAGCAGCTACTCACAGCAAAGGAAGTTGAACCCTTGAACTTTTCTCAGATGAAATAAGCTAAATATACTGCCACGCCCTACTTCTATACGTGTAAAGAAGACATGAGCACGAGCTTGGTCTGACTTGGATAGCCGTTTTGGTTCATTTAGCCCTAAAATTAGGTTGGAAAGTTACCTTTAAAATAAAAACAACTCACATGTAGACTGACTAGCTATGCTGTTCAAACCACTGACAGGCACCTGCTGCTCAGGTGGTTTCAATGTTTAATGTCAAAACCTTCGAGCAGCGACTCACACGCTAAAAATAGCGAGGTTTTTAATCTGACAACCAACAGCTAAGTTTGTGCGACTATTTAAAATGAAGCGTTACGAACTTGTTCTAGTGTCAGCTGCTCAGTGTGCTCGTTGTTAGAAAGTGAATCGAGAAGCTCAAGTGACTTCCTGAGTCCTGAGGTGTTGTCATTTAGAAAATAAAAGATAAGGAAGCAAACACTGACATTAACCTGAACCAGGTTCTGTTTTAATCCTGTTCACTTTTAAAGCTGCTCGTCAACAGAAAGATCCACAAAAACCACCCGGATGAAATTCATGAAACTTACTGTAGATGTGGAGCCTAAACACAGTCAGAACATTTCAACTGGACTTTCTTTAGAACTGAACGATGAAGGTCTGTTCTGAGCGGGTTCTAGTTGTAGCAGCTGATTTCAAAAATTCAGAAATTTGAGCATCAAACATTAATTTCTTGCATTTTGGTGATTTTTTATCAACATTAAATTATGAATTTGTGCCTTTTCTGCATTAATTTATAGTTTAAAGTCTTTAATTGTGTAAAATCAAGCTCAAGATTGTGGCTAATCTAAACCGGTTTCTTCGTTTTAAGTGTTAGAAGCGAATGTATTTCAGTAACGAGCTCAGTAACGATGCTGCCTGGTTGTAAATTAATGACTTTTCTGATCATCTTAAAGTGTGTCAATGAAAATACTGTCGAGAAGTTGTCTGTTAGAATAACAGAACCGACTGAAAACAATATAAGGGAACATTAGTTAACAAAAAATGAATATTTAGTTGTAGTTATCAGGGTGGAGGCTGATTTTTGTGCAGCTCCGTGTGAAGTCGTCTCCTCTAGATCATATTTACACAGTGACATGTTTAGTGCAGTCAAAAAATGAAAGCAGGATTATTAACAAGTGACCGATTGCGAGACTTCGTGCACCTGAAGGTGAAACATAACTTCAACTTGTCAGCAAATTCTGTCTGTCTGTGGGCGTGACAGCGACGCTCAAATGTGGGTTAAGGGTGCTTTCAGTGATCTGTGTCCATTTTTTTCAGTTAGCTGTGAGTGTTAGTGTGTTAGCGTGTTGCATTCTGTAGCAACGTTACAACACTTTTCTTTTAGTCACGTGACATATTTTCCTGTTTGCGCTGTTTCGTTTCAATTGAGGAAGGCTCCGTTTTAAAAAAAGAAATGTAATGTCACACAAGAGCGGACGGGTTAGGCAGAAATATCTGATTGTGTTTGATTTAGATGTTGTGATGTCGATTGTTCAGCCCCATGTCACACGTTGCTATCCTCTGATCACCTTTTTGCCTGGAGGGAATGAAAACTGAACTAAATGTTGTTGTTTTTGACTCTTAAGCTGTAAATAGATCACAATTTAATTGTTCAGTCACAATTAAAGATTTCAATCCAAGTTTTCAGGGGCTGTAATGTTTCAAGAATCACAGAAAGTACATAATAAGTCCTGCAAGTTATTTGTTTTTTGACAGTGATAATGTACTCAGATGTACGTCGCTCTGGATAAAAGCATCTGTCAAATGAAACTGTACAATTGTAATAAGCTGCAGCTGCATGCATTTTTAATCTGACAAGACACACACTAATGCACCGCCCTGCATTCATGAGGCGCTGCTACTAAACATGATTTAGATTCCAGGACACGAAGCACACACTTGCAATATTTTGACACAAGCTGCAAACCAACAAGATGATCTGAATTATCTTCTGATACCGCTCCAAAAATCCCCTAACCCTCATCTGCTGCATTTCCTTCCCCCTGCTGCTGCGCTGACTCGACCATGAATGTTTAATCTAATCTAACAAACCGCTATCTCACTTCAGCGCTCGTTTCCATCCATTAGGTAGCGTGTGCATTAGCCACCAAAGTGTAGAGGGAAATAGGATGGAGACTGATGCCGCTGGCTTTCATTAACCACACCTCTCTGCTCGGATCCCTGGAATGATGAAGCTGATCATCATTTCCTGAAAGCAGGAAAACATCTTTTGTTTCATTGAGGCTTT